AAAATTTTTTTTGTAAAAAATTTTTTTTTCCACAAAAAAATAAATACTTACCGACAGAACGACATTGAATAATAGCAAAATCAAAATGATCATTTTTATTTTTTGTCCATTTTTTGAGCATCAGCAGCACACTGATTTCATATTTCTGAAAAAAAAAATTTATGTAAAAAAAATTTGAAAAAAATTCAAAAAAAGTAACCTAACAAATTTTTTCTTCAAATAAAACACGTCCCAACGTATTTTATTTGAAAAAAAAAACGAAAAAAAATTATTCCACGCGAGTTACTCAAGCAATAATAGTTGGGACCAGGCGGGTGGGTGGTCCCCCCCTCAAAATTGGTCTCTGAGAGGCAAGTCAGAAGAGGAAAAAAGTAAAAGGAAACTACTTTTTTTTTGAACAAAGAAGGACAAAAGGTGAAATGTGTGCAAAAATTTTTGGAAGATAGAGTGTACTTTTGGAAGTTTTTGAATTTTCGATTTAAAAAAAAAATAATGGTCGACGAAAACTACCGTGTCTCGGTCATTTTTGATCTCAACAAAACTTCAGTTAGATTTTTGAAATTAGCAAGTCAAGGCGGTTCGAATGAGTATAATCATGACTAGATTCGGAAAATTTTGGATTTTAGGGTCCCGCCACGAAAATACAAAAACTACCGTATCTCAGCTAATTTTAGGCGGATCTCGATAAAACTTATACCATTGGAATCAGCAACTCAAACCGGTTCAAACGAGTATGATCATGACCATATTCGGAAAATTGTGGATTTTTGGGTCCCGTCACGAAAACACAACAACTACCGTATCTTGGTCAATTTTGGTCCGATTTCGATGAGAATTATAGAGTTAGAATCAGCAAGTCAAGATGGTTTAAAGGAGTATAATCATGACTAGGTTTGGAAAATTTTTTATTTTTCGGGTTTTTCGTGGTGAGACCCAAAAAAAATGAAAACAACAGTATCTTAGTTAATTTTGGTCGGATCTCGATGAAAATTATATCATTAGAATCAGCAAGTCAAGGCGGTTTGAATGAGTATAATCATGACTAGATTTGGAAAACTTTGGATTTTTGGG